CTCTTGGTCGTTCAGTCTTGGGAATGAGACAAATATTAACCTCATTAATGTTGGGGTCGATTCTCCGTGTATAGTTGGACAATCAGTCTCGGCAATGTCAGGTACAAAAATAGTACAATGACATAAATTGATAATTAATAAACTTAAAAATACATAAAATTACTAAAATTGAGATAAACAACATAAAATAAAATATAAGAACAATATAAACTATTGATTTAAAATAATTGGGTAAAATATGTAATTTTGATAAACTAAGAGTACTACTAATAATTGATAATCAAAGTGAAAGAATACACTTAAAATATATTTTTTGGAGTGAAAAATGGAATAATGGGTTGGAGAAAACTCTTAGTCCAAAATGGAGTGACTCTGTTTTAAAGTGAACAATGAAGGAATGGACTCGAGATGGTGTTAAACCGAAAGTGAAGCCTTTCAACGAGTACGAACAGACCGGTACAGATGATAAGTCTCACCAATAATCTCTACAGGAACACTCTCCGTTCTTGAAATGATGGAATCTGTTTGCATCTCTTAGAATGATCTCTCTCTCTGTCGCTTTAGAAATCAGTTTAATCGCGGTGTGGCAATCTCCACAGACTCTAAGGTTTTTCATGACCCGGATGGGTACTCCTTCAGGTAGCTTTAAGAGCCCATAAGCCACTGCGAGTCTCTCGCTGTGACATCTCAAGTTATCAGCTTTCTCTTCCTCGTCTACATCATGCAACACATGGCTGCAATCAGGACTATATCCAGCTTCTCTCAATAATCTTTCTGTTTTCTCCAACATCATCAATATCATCGCCTGCTCGGGATGGTTTCTGATACCTCCGCGAGTGAACATGTGCATTTTCTTCTCTACCTCAATCCAGCTACAACCAGGGAATTTACTTACATTCCTTGCCCTCATGTTTTTCCTCAGTTCTGCAACATTGCCCCATTTAGCTTGAGATGCGTTTATGCTAGATAGCAAAACGTATGGGCCAGCGTTTTCCGGTTCAATTTCAAAAAGTTTCTTTGCAGCAACTTCGGCTAAATCCAGTCGTGAGTGAGTTCGACACGCTCCCAACAGCGAGCCCCAAACTGTAGCATCTGGCTTGATGGTCATATTTTCAATCAATTCCATTGCCTCGTCTATCTGTCCTGCACGCCCAAGCATATCCACCGTGCAAGAATAATGCTCAACCATTGGCGTCATGCAAAACCTTGATTCCATTGATTTAAATATCTCAAGCCCTTCCTCCACTTTTCCAGCATAGCTACATGCTGTCAGAATTGCAATTATGGTGACTTTGTTTGGCATGGTACCAGAAAAAGGCATTTTATGGAAAATCTTAAGCGCTTCCTCTCCTAACCCGTGCGATGCGTAACCAGAAATGATTGAATTCCACATGATAATATCTTTCGAGGGAAACCGGTCGAATACTAGCTTTGCTTTCACAAGCTCACCACATTTGACATACATGGTCATCAAAACAGAGGCAACATACACATCAACATCAAACTGACATCTCACCAAGTGAGCATGGACCTGTCTACCGTATTGGAGGCTTGCTAAGGTGGCACAGACAGAAAGAATGCTGATCAATGATGGAAAACTCGGCCTTTCTCCTTGTCTCTGCATTTCAGCAAACAAATCAATGGCCTCCAATTCAAAACCTTTTCTTTCATAAGCTTTGATCATTCCTCGCCAAGTCGCATTATCTCTATCCTCCATTTGATCGAAAATCCTCCTCGCTTTAGCTATCTCTCCTTGCTCTCCAAACCCAACAATCATAGCATTACACGCAATAACCGGCTTCATCGGCATTGCCTCAAATAATTCCTCAGCGTCCTCGAATCTTCCACTCAGGGTATAGCCCAAAAGCATGGAAGTCAATGAAACTTCAGTTTTCTCCGGCATCACTTCAAAAAGCTTCCTAGCAACATCCACCCGGTTATTCTGCCCGTACCCTGTAATCATCGTGGTCCAAGTTATCACATTTCTATCTCGCATCTGGTCAAAAATCGTTCTTGCCTCATCCACTCTTCCTACTTTACACAACCCACCAATCATGTTAGTACTTGCTACAATATCTTTCACAGGCATCATATCATACAACCTACGTGCATCATCTATACGCCCCTCGTCAATCAAACCACCAAACATCACAGTCCAAGAAACCTCATTCTTCTCTGGCATTATCCAAAACAACGACTCCGCTTCAGCAACCATGCCTTTTTGCACATAACCTTTCACCATTGCGGTCCACGAGACAACATTCCTCTCCGGCATCATCTCAAAGGCTTTCCTGGCTTCCTCAATCATCCCGTTCTTAATATACCCTGAAACCAAGCCGTTCCACGAAACGATGTTTCTCTCAGGCATTTGATCGAACAGAAGGCGTGCTTCTCTTGGCATGCCGTTTGCAAAGTACCCAGAGACAATTGAATTCCAGGAACCGGTTGCTTTAAAGCGTAACGAATCAAAAAACTTCCGAGCTTCATTGATTTGACCGACCCTTGAGAGACGAGAGATCTCAAAACTGGAGTTAATTGTTGTGGCTGTGCAGTATGCTCTATGTAGGATGAAGTGAACCCTCATCCACAAATACTGATTCTGATGAGTGCTACTTCAAGATGCTTTAGGATCTTAACCAGCACAAAAGCAAGCTTTACTGTTTACAATTTTGGACAGAGCGTCCCCGTAATTGTGTTCGGAATGTGTTCATTAAGGTTCTGTTATGTTCTGTGTGTTAATATACTTTTTGGGTTCGATTTGAAGTTGGCCTAAAGACTGTTTTCGTTAACCAGTAGTAATGTGTTTGTGTAGAAACGTGACCCTTTCTAACATACATTAGAGCCTCTGTGCCCACATGTTATGTTCATATTGTAATTGTAAGGACTCCCTCCGTATCTGCAACACGCCATTAACAGTCTCTCAAAACCTACATGGAGCGAACCAAAGTTAAGATATAACCGTCCTATTGGATCACTGAATGAGGATGTAATCTGCTTCACCGTATATGTTGGGGTTTGCAATTGCGTATATGTCAATATAGATTATGATGGCCTCTCGCAGTTTGGTCCTCAGCTCCTCACACATATCATCTAATCTTTGGTTAAATAGTTTTGCGGCCGAGTTGTAGTTGGCTAAGCAACCGTGCTGGTCAAGATATTTTCTCAGAACCATTGAAAGTTTCTGTGGTAGACAACCCAATGGACCAGTGTTGTGAATCCAGAATCTCCTTCCTCCCGAATCATACAATCTCTAGCAGACCGCAAAACCGGTTTTAAAAGGTTACACGGTACGTACCAAACTTCTGTTGAGGCCAAAAAAAATATCACCTTTATTGTTATAAACCCATTTGTATGGATGTCCATTATAGACCCATATTCTAGAACCTTCTAGACTTACCTCTTCTCCAAGTTGTACTTCCTCCCCAAACTTTGTAACCCTATATACTCTGTATTATTCATGAAATAAGACAACACCAATTCCTTCTCTCTTTCTCTTATTCATAACACGTTATCAGCACGAAACCCTAGCCACTGAGTAAAACCCTAGCCGAGTAAGGAAACATAAACGGCCTCCGAAATTTCTAGCCAACATCTTTGGTCCCTCTCTCCGTTTCTAATCTCCGATCTCATCACCACRGTATGAGATAAGTAACCTCATGCTATATAATTGATCGGTTCATGCTTTATCAGTAACAACTTCCTTCGATATGTTATCACTMATTGAACKATGGTTTATTGTTTGATCTGTTTGTTTAATTATCGCTTATGAGGAGATCTGTGTCGTTTGTTACTTTATGATTTAATTTAATTCTATTCGGTTGGCTAAGTATTTCTTATTAGTAACGCTTTMCTTGCTGGTATATCTTTATCATAATACACCACTATAAAGCAAATAGTTGTTTATCATGGTTAATTAGATTATATATAGTTAGTATGGTTTATTATTAGTAACGATACTAAGAGATTATTATATATATTTTGAAATGCTTTAAGTATCATTAAACTTGATCATGCATACATACTATAAGCTGAATCGTTTAACATGTATCTCTGTAGCTTAAGCTCTGTAATATGCTTGAGATCTAAAT